ACTTCACCTAGCATGCTTTGAGTAAGTGTGTTCTACTATTTCTAGTTTATAATTATGTCGTAGGTAGATTAAACACTAGAATTAGGGTTTTAAATCATTGGGGTTAGAGCAAAAACCTAGGGGTTTTAATAAAGTTTAGATTTAACGCACGAAATTTGTTATGAAATGAAATTAGAAATCAATATTATTGGTCCGTTGGGTTATGTAAGAACAACTTCCCTTGAAAATTTAGAATCCGGGCGCGTGGTCCCGGGTCGGATCTTAAGGAAATTGTGTTTATGGGTAGGAATTTGCTTAAATACTTAGAATATGATCTTGTAAGCTTATATTTGAGTAGTTCTTACCTCGTTTATCTAGTTTGGAAATCGTTCGGCTCTAATTGGAAGAATCGGGCTCATTCTACTATATTTGGAAAGTGCACATTGGAGCGAGGTGAGTCTCCTTTCTAACCTTGTAAGAGGGAATTGTCCCCATAGGTGAAATAATTGGTTATGTGCTCCTATTTGTACGGGCTACGTATGCACGAGGTGACGAGAGTCCGTGCGTAGCTACTAATATGTGTAGGTCCGGGTAGTCTAGGACCCAAAAAGCATGCTATACTTGGAATATCTGTGATCTTATTGACAGTTGAATTTCCTAAATCTTATCGAATTGGTAAATGAATTTCTAAGAGGATTAAACTTCATTTTGTTAAATCATTTAAAGAGAATTGGCTTTTATTTGGATAAATGTTCCATGATAAATTCTTAATTTGCCGTTTGAGCATGTATTTCTATGTGTACCTGCGTCGCATGTATGATTCGCAAGCAGGGTGATTGTTTAGTTAAATTTGACCTCGTCGCATGTGTGATTCGCGAGCGGGGTAATAGATGCATCTATGGTTCGGGCCGCTCGACCCTCGGCAGTGCACATTTTAAATATTGTTGGATCGGGCCGTATGACCTCGGCATGAGTTGCGCATGCTTGTATTGCTTGCCTTGATATTTGTTGATACTAATATCTACTCTCCCCGACTTGAGATAATTGTTAATTAATGGATTATGAATCTGGAGACTTTAAATAAAAAGGAACTTTCACCTGTTTAATGACTCATTTAGATTTTACTGTTGTTCTTAATAAATCTGTGAGTCATCGCATTAATAATATTATTACTGGACCTTTAGTAAGTGTCGAAGTTGCCATCTCGTCTCTACTTCTTCGAGATTAGGCGGGATACTTACTGAGTACATGTTGTTTTTGTACTCATACTACACTTCTGTGCATTTTTGTTGCACAGGCACATGTACTTCTAGCGGCCTACTGGGCGTAGCAGCATGGATGATACTGGGACTAGGTGAGCCGCATTACTCGAGGCGACTCGCAGCTAGTATAGTCTCATTCAGCGTATTTTATTTACTTTCTGTCCATTTGTATCCCGGACGGATGATGTACTATATTGTTTCTTAGAAATAGCTCATGCACTCGTGACACCGAGTTCTGGGGATGTCTAGGGGTTTATTCAGAATTTTAAAAGTTGTTAAAGGTTTTATTTTTTTCTTATTCAGTGAAATTTACTTTGTATAGCCTAAACGTATAAAAGGAGAGGTTTGAGGAATATTTAAAACTAGAATTTAATTAAGTATTTTTGGTTGGCTTGCCTGACAGTGGTGTCCGGCGCCATCACGACCCTCAGTGGATTTTGGGTCGTGACAGAGATAAAGGTAAGTAGGTTTTATACTAAGTACTAACCTAATTGCACTAAATTTGTAGGAAAAATATGATATTCTTGACGAGGCGAAAACCATGCTTTTGAATCAATTGGTACTGCCTGGAGAAAGTATAAGAATCAATTGAAGAAAAACCACTTTAAATCCTATGAGAATGACGGGCATCGGATGAAGAATAGGCCGGTAGACATTCTGGAGTATCACTTTAAGGATCTTCTTAAATATCGGAACTCCGATCCCCACAAGGTAATTATTTTGTGCAATTTTAGTTTTCCAAATAGCTAGCCATCCTTCTAACATTCTTCACTGTTTCTGGACTAAGAAAAAGCTGAAAATTATATCTTTGTGGTCGGAAAAGGATTTTGAAATACAGTTGGTTTCACATCCAAATCTGGTTGTGTGCGGGCACATGGCCTCTTACATGTTAGCCTGGACTGTATTCAGCCTAAAATAAATGTCTTTCTACTATTACAAACAAAATTTGAACAAACAGAAACAGTGAACGCACAAATGAAAATGTTTTCAAGTTTCCCCGCTTGTAGAGTTTGAATGAGATTCAACTACTTACAACATATGTTTACGAGTAGAAACTTGCATGAGATAAGGTATTAGAGAGACGAGTAGAAACTTGCATGAGATAAGGTATTAGAGAGGATGAAATCTGAAGAGGATGAAATCACTTCAACTCTGCTAACTATCGATGAACAGACACACTAGCCACAAAGCCCATAATCAGGGGGTATGCTCAATTGGAAAACTAAAATGTCTCCTGCACATGTTGGCAAGAGATGTAAAATGCAATTAGTCAACTGTTGGTAATTAGGCAAACATTGACGAGTATTATTTGGTTATTCCCAATAGATCCGTTACACACATACTTGAAGGTGTATAACCCTAAGACTCAAAATGTAGAAGATTATAAACTTTTATAAATTTATCTTTCAAAAGAACAATGGATAGCACTGTAGACGTTGGCTTAATTATTCTCCACTGAGATACGTAAAATTACTTCTGAAAGAAAATTTCTGTAACGAACAAAACGAATTAAATATTTCTAAAAGACTGTTTATATTCTCGTGCGACAATGATTGAGAAAGCTTATTATTAAACAATGTAATAACATCAGAGTATGAAGAAGGATAAATAATACAACAAAAGCAAGAAGGCACACCAAATCTCCTAGTTTGTTCTTGATTGAAACAGAAACATGGAGTTTATTTTCGACAGCGATTTCATATAATAAAGAAAATAAAATTATCAGTAGAACGTGATCCTTCATATAGAGTGTATTAGGAAAAATTAAGTTCATGTATAGAATTAATTATGAGGTGACATGTCATGACACGTAGACTGGTAAAAGAATGACAGTTGGCAAAAAATAATTGAAGAGGCACGAGCTTCAACAGGCACGGGCAGAGATACAAGGAAGTCGGAAAGGATAGGTGCTCGAACCTATTGATATTCAGAAGTCGCATCAGAAGAATAAACCTAAATAGCAAAAGGGGTATAGATACGTATTGTTAGTAATTAATGGGCATTAATCACGGAAAAAGATATGGAAACTGTATTGAATCAGTTGATTTCCAATTATAACGTTACATTAAATACCATTAATTGTCCATAATGACTCTATTATGAGAGAAACAAAACGTATTGCTTAGAGATATCTATAAAAAGGTGAGGACTGAACATTTGTAAGGACAGAAAATACTATTGCAATATACTGATTTACTTTGCTTTCTATTCAGTTATTATTTACATCAATTATTTTTATTTCTACTTGATTATCAGTAACCCGAGTTCTTCTGAATAAAGCTTTGACCAAAATTCCAATTTTTGGTTAAACAAATTGGTTTTGTTACCGGGAAACTGATAATCTATTCCTTCCTAAATTAACCTTTTTTTCAAATCAATCATGTCAAATGTCAATGACAACAATCAAAGAGACCGACAACTCCAGGAGAATCTGCTAGGTGATGGAACCCCGGTCCCTTCCCCATAAAGTTCTCCTCGACAATCTCGAGAAGGAACTCCTGATGGATCTCAATCAAATGCAAATGATCAATTGGAAAATGATGAGGCTATCAACGAAGCTTTGAAAAAGTTAATCGCTCAACAGGTCAGTAAAGCTCTTGAGGCTTACGCTAACCAGCTACCAGTTGTGCCACCACCGTCAACTCCAAACAACAACACCTTAGAAAATCCTCGCTCCGGACTTGTTAACTCTGGCATCGGGGGAACTCATAGTGATCTCGTGATGGAAGGTCAGGGAACCCAATTAATTCTGATTTACAAAACTTAGTACTAACTTTGCAGAAATAGCTCAAGGAACAAAGCGATCCCATAGAGCAAATACCTGGAGTACCGCCGGTAATCAAAGGGATAGATATGGACAAATACTCACAACAACCTTGGAAGCGAAGTGCTGCTCCTTTACCAATTCCGAAGAAATTTAAGATGCCCGATATCCCAAAATACGACGGTACCACAGATCCACGAGATCACGTAACTGCTTTCACAACCGGCGTAAAAGGCAACGACTTGATCAAGCAGGAAACTGATTCAGTTTTGGTCAAAAAGTTCGGAGAAACACTCGCTAAGGGAGCATTAACATGGTACTCTCTTTTACCTGAAAATTCTATAGATTCCTTTGCTGAACTTGCAGATTCATTCATCAAAGCACACTCGGGAGCTCAAAAAGTTGAGAAAAGGATAGAGGACATATTTAAAATAAAGCAAGGAGATACGGAGCTGCTCAGGGAATTCGTAGACTGGTTCCAGCGTGAAAGGATGATGTTGCCACGTGTACCTAATAACTGGGCAGCAATGGCATTCGCTAGCAATCTAAACAAAAAGAGTTCAGAATCCACGAGGAGACTCAAGGAAAGCCTACGTGAATTTCCAGCTACGACTTGGAATGATGTTTATAACAGATACAACACAAAGCTGCGGATAGAAGAGGATACCATCATTCAATCTCAAAGGGACGAAAAGATAAGTTCAAGGCGGCTTGAATCTGAAAAAGGTCCGGTAAAAATAGGTACGAACCTTACATGGGACCGGCAGTAAGAGAATCACGATCAAAACAGGATAACTTCAGGTACGATCATAGATCAAGAGATAGGGAGTCGGGTTCATTCATCAAGGTTCGGGAAAGAATGAAATGCACAAGAAACGCGTGAGGATGACAGAAGCTCTAAGGCGAAGATCGACGGTTACAGTTTTAATGTAAGCACGTCCGAATTGGTGGCTGTTTTGAGGAGCATGGGAAACAAGGTACGCTAGCCAAAAGAAATGAGATCAAATCCAAATAGGCGAAATCCTGATTATTGGTGCGAGTTTTACCATGACCACGGTCACAAAACAGCAGATTGTAGATTGTTGCAGGGTGAAGTTGAACATTTATTGAAACAAGGGTATCTAACTGAATTATTTGGTGAAAAAGGAAAACAAGCATATATGAAAAATAGACATGAGCCACCAAAACCCCCTTCACCAAAAAGGACTGTTAATGTCATAAGTGGTGGAGAAGAAATCAATGGAGTAACAGCAGCCAAGAAAGTTTCAAAAATTATAGTCACATATGGGAAGCGAGTTCGACGTGTTTTGGAAGAAGAAAGTATTAAATTTGATGATGCAGATGCAGATGGCATACTAACCCCACACAATGACGCACTGGTAATATCTTTACTTGTACATGACACTAACGTGAAACGTTTTTTGATTGATCCAGGTAGCTCTGTGAATATCATTCTTTCAAGAGTGGTAAACGAAATGCAAGCTGGAGAAAAGCTGATACCCAAGGCACACACCTTATCTGGTTTTGACAACTCAAGTATTGTAACAAAAAGGGAGATAATACTCACCACCTTCGCAGAAGGAGTTGTCAAGGATACAAAATTTCAGGTGGTAGAGATGGACATGGCTTACAATATGATTCTCGGAAGACCATGGATTCACGAAATGGATGATGTGCCATCTACCCTGCATCAAGTTATTAAATTCCCTTCACAATGGGGAATACGACAAATCCGCGGTGACCAGCAAGCATCTAGGAGCATCAATTCCGTAGATTCAAGTGCAAAAAATGAGGAAAAATAGCAATTACAGAATTTAGTTGAGGATGCTGCAACACAAGCCTCAACTGAACACGGGCGGACAAATGTAGACTCGAGGCCTGATTCCATCCAAGAACCGGAAGAAAATGAAAACATCAAAACTACGATTGAAGAATTGGAGGCTGTAGAACTATTCCTACAATGGCCTAAAAGGATAGTCTACATTGGGGCCAACTTAAGCCATGAAATGAAAGGTAAGTTGACTGAATTTTTGAAAACTAACGTGGATTGTTTTGCCTGGTCCTACTTTGATATGACAGGAATACCTCCGGAAGTAATGACTCACAAGTTAAATGAAGATCAATCATATCCACCTGTCAAACAAAAGAAAAGAAAGCAGGGATCTTTTAAAAATTAGGTGATTCGAGATGAGGTGCAAAAACTTTTAAAAATTGGGTCTATCTGCGAGGTAAAGTATCTTAATTGGTTAGCTAATACTGTAGTAGTACCAAAAAAGAATGGTAAATGGTGAGTTTGTGTAGATTAAATTGACCTAAACAAAGCTTGTCCTAAAGATTCTTTTCCGTTACCACATATAGATCAACTAATTGATGCTACTGCAGGACATGAATTGTTAAGTTTTTTAGATGCATATTCAGGGTATAACCAAATCAAAATAGATCCCCTAGATGAGGAAAAAAACTTCATTTATAATAGAAGGTGGACTTATTGTTACAAAGTAATGCCATTTGGCCTCAAAAACGCTGGGGCCACATATCAAAGGTTGGTGACCAAAATGTTCCAAGAACATTTAGGGAAAACCATGAAAGTCTACATAGATGATATGCTGGTCAAATCCTAACAAGCAGGGAATCATATTCAGCACCTGTCTGATACATTTTAGATTCTCCATAAATTCAACATGAAGCTAAATCTCGAGAAATGTGCATTTGGCGTTTCATCAGGTAAGTTTTTGGGATTTCTTGTTTCTAACCGTGGCATTGAAGTTAATCCCGCGCAGATTAAAGCTATTGAGGAAATTCCTGATATTCTTACGTGTAAAAAAGAGGTACAGAGACTGACGGGAAGAATTGCAGCCTTGGGAAGATTTATTTCCAAATCATCAGAAAAATGCTTTAAGTTCTTTTCAACTCTAAAAAAGTAGGATCAGTTCGAATGGTCTGAGGAATGTCAGCAAGCGCTCAAAAACTTGAAAGTATACTTGCCAAATCCACCGTTGCTCGCAAAACCAAAAGATGGGGATTAGTTATCTACCTTACTGTTTCAGAAGTAGCGGTGAGTGCTATTTTGGTTCGTGAAGGCCAAGATTTTGTGGCCAATTTTAGCCAAGGGATGCAACCAGAAGCAGAAAAGGAACTACACATATTCAACGGGTCTAATCCAGGAATTTGGACTTTATTCACTGATGGTTCATCGAACATAAAAGGGGCAGGTCTAGGAATTGTTTTGGTATCACCTTCGGGTGAAACCATACGACAAGCCATAAGATGTCATCCTGTTACTAACAATGAGGCAGAGTATGAAGCTGTGATTGCAGGTTTAGAACTGGCACGAGAGCTTGGCATAGAACAAGTTGTAATCAAAAGCGATTGACAGCTCGTAGTTAACCAAATGCTGGGGACTTACACAGCTAGAGAAGCAAGAATGCAGCAGTACTTGGAAAAGGCACATGATCTAGTTAGGAAATTCCAAACCTGGAAAGTTGTGCAGATATCACGAGAAGAAAATGTCGAGGCAGACGCCTTAGCTAATCTTGCATATGCAGCAGAAGTGACAAATGATGAAAATGCTTCTCTAATTCATCTATTCCATTCAGTACTTGATCAAGAAGAAAAACAAGGTAAATTTTAATAATTTAACTTGGGATTGGAGGAACGAGATTGTCACTTTTTTGCAGTATGGAATTGTCCCTGAAGATAAGAAAAAGGCTCACGCGCTTCGCAAAAAGCTGCTCGGTACTGTTTAAAGCAAGACAATCTTTATCGTAAAATGTTCGGTGGTCCTCTAGCAAGATGCCTCGGACCTTCTCAAACAGATTATGTGATGAGAGAAATACACGAGGGGCATTGTGAAAATCACGTGGGAGGAAGATCTTTAGTGAAAACCATGACTAGAGCAGGCTATTATTGGCCAAAATGGAAGAAGAAGCGGAAAATTTTGTGGCTAAATGTGACAAGTGCCAAAGATACGGTAACAATATGCATAGACCTGCAGAGTTATTACATCCGGTCATTGCACCGTGGCCTTTTATGAAGTAGGGGGTGGATATCGCGGGTCTACTACCACAAACAAAAGACAAGGTAAGATTTTTGCTAATACTCACTGATTACTCTACTAAGTGGGTAGAAGCAAGTGCTTTTAAACAGGTATGAGAAAAAGAGGTCAGAGATTTCATTTGGCGAAATATCATATGCCGATTCGGCATACCAAAGGAAATCGTATGTGATAACACTCCTCAATTTATAGGCGCACAAATCACAGAATTTTTTTAGAGTTGGCAGATTAAAAGGATTACTTCAACATCTTACAATCCTGTGGGTAATGGACAAGCTGAATCATCGAATAAAGTCATTATCAACAATTTGAAGAAAAGATTGGAGGAATCCAAAGGCAATTGGCCAGAGGTGCTACCTGGTGTTTTGTGGGCTTACCGCACAAGAGCAAAAACAAGTACGGGAGAAACACCATTCTCACTTGTATATGGAGCTGAAGCCTTGATCCTAGTCGAGATAGGGGAGCCAAGCACGAGATATACACAAGCGGCTGAGGAATCTAATGAAGAAGAAATGCGAATAAACCTAGATTTACTTGAAGTAAGAAGGGAAGCTGCACCAATAAGGATGGCAGGGCAAAAACAAGTTATGGAACGATACTATAATCGAAAAGCTCGTCTAAGATACTTCAAGATTGGGGACTTCCTACTCAAGAAGGTTTTTCAATCCACGAGAGCAACTAATGCGGGAAAGTTAAGTCCAACTTGGGAAGGACCTTATAAGATTCACGGTATCGCAGGAAAAGGAGCATACGAGCTGGAAACAATGGATGGCAAGATTTTACCTTCACATTGGAATGTTGTTCATCTGAAGAGATACTATTTTTAAGGAAAGGAAGTATCCACGGGCAGGTACCCTCATTTTAAAATTTTATTTTTGAATTGCTAAAATTTTACTAACGATTTTAGATGATAGGAAAAAAGCTAACACGTACTAAGTGATGAATCACGACCTGCAAGACACGTGGAAAAATATAAATTCCCGGTCTAGGGTTACAACTATTCTGATAGAAATTTAAACGGGTTAAGCAGTCTTCATCTAAAATCGTACCTCTGAGTCCCGTATATTTTTCCTTTTCAGGAAAAGGACCGCATGATAGGAGTAATTAAGTGCTCGAGATTTCATACTTCAAAGCTCAAACACTTGGAGGACTATATATTATACAGAGGACATATGTATAAAGAAGGCAAAGAAGATTGAATGCAAGTTAAATTCAAGTCAAGCCCAAAAGTCTACTAATCAAAAGTGCAGAGCAAAGTCACGAGCCAATAACACAAGCCAGTCAAAAAACCTTCATATAGATTTAACAATCTTATGATGTCTAGGTTAAAGGCAATGTTTAGTCATGGGTTAAAAAAAACCTTTGGACTTTCTTTTCTTTTTTGTAAAATCTGTTGTAATCAAAATAGTTACGAAAAGTTATAGAAGATATTTAAATACATGTAAGATGTTACTTAAACTTGATAAAGTTCTGATGAAAACTTTATCAAAGTTATTTCAAGAAACATGCATGTTCCTATTTCTTTTTCGTATATTTACACCATTATGAAGTTGAGACGTCTTCTTCATTAAGTGTCGAGTATAAAAGGGCCCTCTTTTATAAAATTCATGTTTGATTCAGACATCTATGAAGTTAATGAAGCATTTTATAAAACAAAAAAATGCAAAAAGGGTAAAACATAAGCCCACGGATTAACTAACAAATCCTTGGGTATAAAGGAAAGAACGAGCAAAACACAAGCTCAAGATAATTAAGTTAAAACAAAAACTTCTTTATATTAAAGTTTCTACTAAGTATGAACCTAGTCGTGAACTGTTTGTCATTTATACAAAATGCCCCGAAAAGGTCTGGGGACTTGTCATTTCCAAAAAAAAAAATTAAACCCTCAAATGGGACCGAGGATTAAAACCACATTCCACCCAAAAAAGAAAAAAAAAGAAGAAGTCGCATTTCATAAACTTTCACTGAGGGGCTGAAGAAGGATCTAAAGCAGTGTCACTAACAGCAGAAGGATCGAGTTGGCTTGAAGGAGTTGGAGCAGTCACCGTACCTATATCATCTTCAAAAGGAAAGTCTTGGCCTTGCTGAGTTTTTTCAATAGTCTCTTTTATCTTGGCTAACTCAGCATCCAAGTTGAAACCCTCTTGGTCAGCCTCCACAAGGGTCTCGTGGCGTGTGTTCAAAATTTCCCAACTCACTTCAATAACAGTCTTGTCCTCAAGAATCTCATAATCTCTCTCCCATTGATCAATCTCATTTTTGAGCTTTTCATTCTCAGCCAAGGCAGAATCATAAGAAGCTTGAAGAGAGCATGTGAACTTTCTAAAAAACGGACCTTATCAGAAGACTCACGAAGATCTTCTTGGGTCTGTGTAAGTGTGTGCACAAGTTC